TTGCACCCTCGATTTTCTTTGCCCTTGGAGCTCCCTGTGCCCCGTTGCAATCTGGTTGTCTGTCCCATCTCAAGATAATCAGCACCTCCAGAGAAGGAGCTTGTTTTCTGAGGATTCCCTGGTGCCCTGCCTCGTACTGCTGATAAAAGCAGGAGTGGGTGGATGTGGCTAAGGAAAAACTGGAGAGCGAGGGAGCCTGGGGGCTCCACTAGTCAGGACAATTGAGAATGAAAGTCTTGGGCCACGCCTCCGAATAGTCCCAGTTCTCATCCTAGCAGCCTCTTTCTCATCTATAAAACAGGGGAAATAACATTTTCTCTGGTTACTTTGTGAATACGTGAGCGTTCAATGGAAGTGCTTACCAGGGTTGCTTTGAAAATAATTGAGCTCTAGCACAGGAGAAAGTGGTATTCCAGATAAAGAACAACTTCATAAGGCAAGGGGAGCAGGGTGAGAAGAATCCCCAAAACTCCGTGGCAAAGAAGGATTTATCAGATGTCAAATATTCTCTAGGCAATGAATCAGAAAATAAAAACATCTTTATTTTTTTAATATATATTTTTATTGATTTCAGAGAGGGAGAGAGATAAACATCAGTGATGAGAGAGAATCATTGGTTGGCTGCTTCCTGCACACCCCCTACTAGGGATGGAGTCCACAACCTGGGCATGCCCTGACAGGGAATCCAACCTTAACCTCCTAGGTTAAGTTTATTCCTATAGTACTCTATCCTTTTTAATGCTATAGTAAATGGGATTGTTTTCTTAATTTCCCTTTTGGGTTTGTCATTGTTAGTGCAGTGAAACAAATTTTTGTGTGTTGATTTTGTATTCTGCAACTTTGATGAAATTGTTTTTAGGTGTAAGTTTTTTTCTGGAATTTTTAAAATATATATATAAGATGATGTAATTTGTGAGCAGAGATAATTTTACTTTTTTTTCCAATTTCTTGTCTGATAACTTCTGCTAGAATTTTCAGTGCCGTGTAGAATAGTATTGGCAAGAGTGGTTATTGCCTTGTTCATCATAGAGGATAAGCTTTCAGTCTTCCACCATTGAATACAGTATTAGCTGTGGGCTTTTCATGAGGCTTATATTCTGTGGTGTAGTTTCTTTTTATTCCTAGTTTGTTGAGTATCTATTATCATAAAACAGCGTTGAGTTTTTCTGCATTGATTGCCATACTCATGTTGTCCTTGATTATGTTAATGTGGTGTATGACATTGCTTATTTTTGCATATTGTATTATTCTTGCATTCCAAGTATAAATCCCACTTGGTCATGGTGTGTGATCCTCTTAATGTGCTGTTGAATTCAGTTTGCAATTTGTGCATGGGTGGGGTCCCTTGGGGTGGCCTGCGGGGATCGGGCCAAAACCCACAGTCCAACGCCACCTGCAGCTCCAACCTGCCACTTCCGCTCATCCAGGCCCCACGGCGCCTGCTGCAGGCTCATGCCCAATCAGTCCCAATCAGGAGAGGCTCATGCCGCTGCAGCAGTGCTCGCCAGCCATGAGCCCTGTGTCTAGTGCCCTCCTGAGAGGAGTGGCCTGTGGGATCTGGCCAAAACTGACTCTCTGACATCCCCTCAGGGGTCCCAGATTGTGAGAGGGTGCAGGCCAGGCCAAGGGACCCCACTGGTGCACGATCAGGGCCGGGGAGGGACTTGGTAGGTTGGCCAGCCAGGGAGGGACCACAGAAAGGCTCGAGGGCGTGTCCAGCCCATCTTGCTCAGTCCCTATCGACTGGACCCCAGCAGCAAGCTAACCTACCAGTCAGCGTCTGCCCCCTGGTGGTCAGTGCACATCATAGCGAGTGGTTGATCAGCTTTAGCATATCATCCTATCTAATAAAAGAGAAACATGGTAATTAGCCGTAACTTCGCTACCCTTCCCATTGGCTAATCAGGGCGATATGCAAATTAACTGCCAACCAAGATGGCAGCCGGCAGCCAGGCAACTGAAGCGAACAGGAGGCTTGCTTGCTCCA